GGGGGGAGGCTTTAAGATAGATGTGGTGATGATTGTACAATTCCCTTGATGTGATTGAACAATTGAACTGTTCAACTATGTGATATGTGAATTATGTGCCAATAAAACTGTTGAGGGAAAAAGAAAGAGCCTCGGCTATTTTGAAAGACCTGAAGGTGAACCAGATGTTTCCCCACTCCAACCCTCTGCTGAGAATCACTAGTTTAGAAAAGGTTCTAAAGCTCATGTCTCCCAAACCATCCAGGTACAAGGCATATCACCTTCTTAAGCAAAGTTAAAAAGAAAGCAATAGAGCCAGTAGGAGAAAAATAAAAAATAAGAATGGAAAGAGAATTTCAGTGGGACAAGTGGAAATATTGGCAGATGAAGTAGTATAATATTGAAAGTCAGCTAACTCAATTCGTTCTTGGCATTTAAAGTCCCTCATATTTTAGGTGAGGCAGGAGTATCATAAGACAACTGAAAATACCATGGCTTGCCTCATGTGCATGTGAGAGTTGGACATTGAATAAGGAAGACCGAAGAAGAATCGATACATTTGGGTTTATCGTGCTGGCTGAAGAATATTGAAAGTGCCACGGACTGCTAAAAGGATAGACAAATCTGTCTTGGAAGAAGGACAGGCAGACTGCTCCTTACAGGCTAAGATGGCAAGACTTCGCCTCCCGTACTTTGGAGATGTTGTCAGGAGAGACCAGTCCCTGGAGAAGGACATCAAAGTAGAGGGACAGTGCAAGAGAGGCAGGCCCTCAATGAGATGGCTTGACATTCGACTACAACAATGGGCTCGAACGTAACACTTGTGAGGAAGGCGCAGGGCTGGGAAGTGTTGTGCACAAGGTCACCAGGGTCAGACCGAACAAAAGGAGTGTGAATTGGAAAATTTACTCACTTCTGCCAGCCCTCACTGTGTTAGTTCTCTCTCTCTTTTTTCCGTTTCATTTTATTTTATTATTAAAATGTTATCAGTATATAATCTACATATCATACAATTCAGTAGTTCAGTCCTATAAAAAAGAATTGTACAGTCACTATCACAATCAATTTTAGAGCATTTCTTCTTTCTTGTACTCACTGTTATTGGCTCCCCATTCCCCCCCCCTCCCCCCACCATGTCCTGAGGACCATGAATACAGATCCTGTCTGTAGAGGAACTGAAATACAGTTACCTCTCCTGGATTTTGCACGCAGAAAAAGCCTGCCAGAACCAAACCTAACAACAAAAACAAAGTGAAACAAACACAAACCTCAGTGGAAAAGAAAGTAGACAATAATAAAAACCAGAACAAATTTAAAATGGAACAAAAGGGAGAGCAAGCGATAAGGTGTTCAGTGTGACCTGCTGGCATCCGCAGTCATCCACTCTGCAGTGCGCGCTGCATGGTCACACGCCCTGGTCTGTGGTCACCAGAGGATTCATCCAGTGTAGTTCCCCTTCACGACAAAAACAAAAACCGAGACAGCCTTTAAATAGGTCCAAAGGGAAATCAAATGATATTAACAAGTTTAAAATAGACCAAAAGGGAGAGCAAACAATAAGGTGTTCAATGTAACCTAAGTCTACGGTAATCAACTTTACAGTGCACTTTGATGACAGGCTACTCACATCCCTCAACTCTGGTTAGAGGGGATTCATTGGGAGGTTTAACCTATAGGTGGACCCTTCGAACGGATGCTGGGCTTCCACTGTCATCCATAGGCTTCTGCAAACCAGATGTTCACAATTTAAACTCTGATACCAGTCCCTACTTTGGATTTGAATTTCATTATTACACTCCCTGGATCACACGGGCTAGTGTGTTTCTCCTATGTAGATTTAGTTGATGCCTTGTTTTGCCTTTCTAAGGAAAGAGGATGGACACAATGTCTTCTTCTTTGTCGTCTTCACTATGCCGAGCACAGTAATAGACACACAGAAGGTCCTTCAATTTTGTTTTGTCTTAATTGAGGGGTGAAGATAGGTTTGCTTTTCTTACTTTCCACCCAGCTTTGATTAGTATGGAAAGGAGCAGATAATTTCCAAGCACACATTTCAGAGAAGATTGTCACTTAATTTTGCTTGTTACAAACAAATGATTTATCAATGGAGAGATACTTTTGCTTCCATATCTGTACTATATGTGCTTGGTAGATTGTGACGGATTTATATTAAACAGCGGTGACCAGGCAGTAACTTCTCTCCCTTTGTAATTCTCCAGATTGTACAACATGCAATAGTTTAACATCATGTTAAGCACTTACTTAAAGTTGAGATTGGAAGAATTAAAGTTTTTTATTTTGTTGCATATACATAGTAAAACACATAGTTTCTACATGTACAGTTTAATGGTATTGATTACATTCTTCAAATTTTACAACCGTTTTTACCCTTTCTCTCATCAACGACCTCATTGCCCCATAACGTTTCTGGCTGATCTTTCAAATATGCATCATCAATTTGATCTCATATAGACTGGTCTTAAAATAGCATAATGCTCAGGAAGACTAAGCAGAGTTTTAGAAGAGTTCAGAGGATATTTTTGGTTTAAGGAGCAAAAGATTTTAATATTATATCACGTAACTGAGTATATACTTCTTTGATACAACACCCAAACTGATGGTAGCTTCTTCAAGATGAGTTAAAATAAATACTCACACCATGTCAATAAACTTCCTGCCCTACTACATAGTGAGTACTTCTAACCAAGGCCCTGCTACAGAAGGATGAGCACCGGGCTACGAGCCACAAGGGCACCTGGGAAAACAGGCCAGGGGGTCTGCTTTTGAAGGTCTGTCATGCATGGAGTCACCAGGAGTTGGAAATTATTTAACAGCCCCCACTACCACCAAGACCATTTTAAAAGTATTTAAAGATTGTTTATTGAAACTTAAGGTCAGATGTTCAATTCTGGTCTGTTTGCAAAATGTCAAACATATAAATAACTTGTCTTTGTCTACAGCCCTACTGCCATTATAAATACATGCATTTTCTTGTAAAACTTTTCCTTTTCCAACCACTGAAAACAAAGCGGGTGAGTAAACAAATGTGGTGAAGAAAGCTGATGGTGCCCGGCTATCAAAAGATATAGCTTCTGGGGTCTTAAAGGCTTGAAGATAAACAAGCGGC